TACAAGAAATATTCAATTTTCAGAAAAATAGTTTGATATAATACCTTCTAAATATATTGCGCAAACGCAGTTATTGTTCTCGAGAATCTTGCAATGTCAGATACTTCAGTCTAGTGCGCGCATTCATCGAATATACATACATATATGTGTTGTTCAGAAGTAGCACTGGTCACTTGATTCGATGTGTTCGATGTCTGAATTATACTGATCTTTTCCCAAACTGGATATAAATGCGGATATATAATAAAGTATAAATAAGTACACACAGTTTTATGTTGAATTAACTTTATTTTTTATTTATCTAAGAATATCCATATTATCTATCTAAGAATATCTATATTATAAGCTAAAGAATAATCTCTCACTACTAAAACATTTTCTATAATGTTGTTTAAATATTATTTATTAAAATGTTGTTTGATTATTGTTTATGACTAACATTTCTGCACATTGTTGGTATGACGTTGATGTTAGGTATATGTGTTTCTACTAGTGCAGTCCACATTTTCTTCTCATTCTCAGCTTCTCTCTATGTATTAATCTAATTTATTGTCACCAATAATAAACTTTCTATCATTACCGTGTAGAATAAAGGACGGTAAAATAAGATACCGATGTACTTATTAACTGTAAGAACATATATCTTTTTAGAAATTGTCTTATATAAAACACAATTATATGAATATGAATGTTACGGATATGAATGAGTTTTATTACATGTAAGAAATGTATATGTATATTTTTTGTTTTCTTTACCGTGGCCGCACTTTCTAAAGATCCTATAAATATTTTTCCAAGATTTAAATAAAAAGGTTTCGTGCCTCTTTGCAATAGAAATAATATCATTTTTTGTATTTGTGCAGAAAAGTTATACCATTGAACATTGTATCTAGTTAAGTAAAAAACAATTATAAGATAATATGTAACTATTGTACAACTAAATAAGAACTACGATACTATATAATAATATATTTTGTGTGCGTGGCTGCATATGTACATATATATATAAATGCCGTTATTTATTTTTTAAAAAACTATTTAATACTAATGCATCTTGAAAATTTGAAAATAATAATTTGGAAAAAAAATAAAATCGAAGGAAAAGAAAGTTAACCCTAACACTTTACGGACAATATATTCTTAGCAAAATATAAGAAAAAGATATGATAAAAAATATGGTAAAAATATTGAAAAAAATGTTTGAAAAAAAGGAGATGAAGTTAAACGTGACTAAATCATAAATAACATTCAGAAAAAAGAGAAACAGAACAAAACGAATTAATTTGGTCATATCGCAGGACGTGATAATCTTACACAGTTTTAAACACATCACTATAATGATCCGTAACGTCTTGTGCAGCATAATTGGCTAAAAGCATGTATAAAAGTATTACAGAAACAATTGTAAGATGTAATAAAAATTCCATCGCATTATTTCCGTCTACTGCTGAATGATAAACCTAAAACAGATATGTATATAAAAAAATACTTGATAGAGTTAAATCATACGAAGCGTCACACACTTTACAAACACATACACATATACATATAATAAATGCATGAAATTTTATGTAATTTATTATATACAGACTTATGTTAACTCACCAAAAACAGATTCAAACTTAAGCTAGTTACGCCAAGTACTATTAAACAAAAGAATGATCCCTCAAAATTAGACATAAAATTTGTCGAAAATCTTTAAAAAAACAAAGATTTATATTTATAGTGTAAAATATAAGCTTTGTTGGGTTAGTACTGTGGCCGTACTGAAAAATCTACAGAATACGTGAACCTACAGATTTTCAGTTCTGCCAGTAATAACCGAATTGAGCCATACACTGCTACTATTGCATAAATACCAACTCCATAGCTGTACGATGAATGTCCACGCCATAAGCTATACTTTGACTAATCGCATTTGTATTCTCAAACCCAAACTCTTTCGATTTCTTACTAGCCATTGCTTGCTGGATTCGATAGCTATAATAAATAGCATATAATTATAATATGTATTTCTCTTATATAATTGTAATATCTATAAATGCATACATATATTATATATAATTTTATCTAATTATATATAATTGTTTTATATTAGATTATTTTAGATATAATAAGTAAAAATAAATGTTTTATACTTTGTCAAATATTTCTATAACACTACCTGGCAATATTAAACATTCCACAGGTGTGCTTAAGATACGATATCATCACCGTTCCTGGTCCTATTATTGCCATCGCTCCGATGCAACAAGCGACCAACGTGTGCAGCAAGATTAAATAGGCATATTTCTCTTGATTAATAAAGTAGCATGTCACAATTGGCATTGCAAAATGTGATCGAGATTCGTTCATAGGCAGAACAATATCAAGTAAAAGTGGCAATATTGGTAGCAACATAACAACACATAGACAGACTAATGTAACCACTGAGCATAAAACAATTTATTATTTTCATAAATAAGTGTTTATACATATTTACTTTTTATTCTATAAAAGTATTTATTTTTGTCTACTTTCCCAAAAAGGTGTTTCTAGAAATGTGTACTAATAGGATATATTACTTAAAAACAATTTTGATACTTTAAGAATATGACATTTTTCTAATACAGTTTAAATAAAAAATAACCTTAAATAACCTTGATTTAAAAATACTAATTATTGTAAAAATATGCATGTACTGAGTACTACTTAGCGTTTACTACAATTTATAACTAAATTTGTGTCTTCTGATAAAACATGATATTTGAGTAAATCTCGAATTAAACTGTCATTTTAACTGAAGATATCATATTGGCATCCAATTTTGAATTATCGTTTTTGTAAACATTTCTACTGATAATGCATAATCAATAATCATCTTACACATAATTTTAGCTGTGTAACGTGTTGCGTTACTCCCATATTGTTTCATAATATCAATTTCATTCTTATCTCTGAGTCCGTCACAAGTATGCTTGATATGTTCTAATAAATACTTTACCTAATGTGTATAAAAAAAGTATAAATATATTTAAACGCACGAATATTACACAATGATTATAATAAATAGTTGTTTGAATAACTACATTAGTCCAGCAACTTACAGTGGAAAAGTTCACTTTAAATGAAGTGTATTTAATCACACACAGTGTATAAAATAGTGTGCAAGAAACAATTTTAATTGCACAATCAAGCGTACATTCCGGAGTCCAAAGTGCTGCAATCTGTGTTTAATAAAATTCGTGAGCATTTTAGTGAACAGAGTGCGGTTTAAAAATGAATTATTTTGATATACCTGAAATACAATAAAAGCTATTAAAATAGCACAGAACGAGACAAACTGTATCCTTGCAAGTAATGATTGCTCATAAGGCCACAAACCAATTGCAAGCAACAGAATTCGATTAAGCTTGAAACGCTCGGTGTCTATAAAAATCATTTTCTTTTGAATATTGAGATATTTTTTACTGTTAGAAAAGTCGTGAAATTGTTTTTTTTTGTCAGAACATATGATTGATTATTGTAAAGTAGTATGTACCATTTCGTTTCGAGAGAGCAATTTATGGTGTAAAGTGCCAGCGTGAGAATGCAGACACGTGTTTCACAATATGATACGTATTCTAGATGACGGTGAACTATTACACGATCGATATCACACAAACGAAATACAAAATACAACAAATATTCAATTTTCGGAAAAACAGTTTGATATAATACCTTCTATATATACTGCGCAAGCGCAATCATTATTCTCAAGATACTCGCAATGTCAGATCCAGATGTTTCAGTCTAGTGCGCGCATTCATCGGGTATAGATGTATTCGAAAATGCAGTAGTCACGTGATTCGATGTGTTTAGTGTGTGAATTATATTGATCTTTTTAAGACTGGATATAAATGAGGATAAATAATAAAATATAAAAAAGTACACCCCTTTTTTATTTGAATTATCTTTAATTAAAATATCTCTTATATGAGCTAAAGAATAATAACCACACAAAAAATTTTTTAATGTTGTTTGAGTATTCTTTACTATAATGGTGTTTGATTATTATTTATGACATTTCTGCACATTGGTGAAAGTCACGTTGATGTTACCTATATGTGTTTACATTAGTGCAGTCCACAATTTCTTCTCATTCTCAGCTTCTTTGTTCTAATCCAGTTTATTATCACAAATAATAGATTTTCTATCATTGACGTGTAGAATAAAGAACGGTAAAATAAGATACGGATGTACTCATTAACTGTAAGAACATATATATCTTCTTAGAAAGTGAAGTATATAAAACACAATTATGAATGTGAATATTACGTATATGAATGTGCTTTTTACGTATAAGAAATGTGTATGTACATTATATATATATTAATTTTTTTACCGTGGCCGCACTTTCTAAAGATCCTATAAATATTTTTCCAAGATTTAAATAAAAAGGTCTCGTGCCTCTTTGCAATAGAAATAATATCAATTTTTGTATTTGTACAGAAAAGTTATACCATTGAACATTGTATCTAGTTAAGTAAAAAACAATTCTAAGATAATCTCTGTAACTACTATCCAACTAAATAAAAACTACGATACTATATATTAATTTATTTTTTTTGCGTGGCTGTATATGTACATATATGTCTTTACTTTGATGGAAAACTGTATTTAATACTAATACATCTTACAGATTTGAAAATGATAGTTTGGAGAGAGCAGAAAAGTAAATGAAAGGAAAGTTAATCTTAGCATTTTACGGACAATATATTCTTAGCAAAAGAAAAAAAAATATGGTAAAACAATTTCATAATAATATTGAAAAAAATATGAAACAAAAAGAGCTGAAATTAAACGTGATTAAATCACATATAAAATTCAGAAAAAAAGGAACCTTATCAAAAAGAATGGATTGCGATAAGAAAAAGAAAAGAAATTTAAGAAATAAAAAAGTAAATATTTAGAATTTGGTTTTCAGAGAACTGGAAGAAGAGGGAACAAGTAACAAAAAAACACAATTATAAAATAAAAATAAAAAATAAGAAAAAGGACATTTAAAAAAAAGTATAAGTAAGAAAACAGATGTGTGGTCATTGACGCGTTAATTTGGTCAAAACGCAGAACGTGATAATCTTACACAGTTTTAAAAACGTCACTATTATGATCAGTAACGTCTTGTGCAGCATAATTGGCTAAAAACATGTATAAAAGTAGTACACTAACAAATGTAAAATGTAGTAAAAATTCCATCGCATTATTTCCGTCTACTGCTGAATGATAAACCTAAAATATATGCATATAAAAAATTACTTGATAGAACTAAATAATACGATTTCTACATTTTACAAACACGTACATATATACATATAATGAATACATGAGGTTTTTGTCATTTATTATACAACTTATGGTAACTCACCAAAAACAGATTCAAACTCAAGCTAGTTACGCCAACTGCTATTAAACAGAAGAATGAACCCTCAAAATTAGATATAAAATATGTCGCAAATCTTTAAAAAACATGAAGATTTATATCCATAGGTGTAAAATATAGGTTTCGTTCGGTAAGTACTGTGGCCGTACTGAAAAATCTACAGAATACGTAACGTCAAACTACTAATTTTCAGTTCTGCCAGTAATAACCGAACAATATACCGCTATAAGTGCATAAATACCAACTCCATAGCTGTGCGGTGAATGTCCACGCCATAAGCAATACTTTTACAAATCGCATTTTTATTCTCTAAACTAAATTTCTTCGATTTCTTGCTAGACATTGCTTGCTGGATACGATAGCTGTAATACATAGCATATAATTATGATATGTATTTAAAATATATATTTGTACTATCTATAATTGCAAACATATAATATATATATGTTTGTTTAATTATAAATAATTATGAATAATTATGAATAAGTATGAATAATTTTTTTTATTCGATTATTTCAGATATAATAAGTAAAACTGTAGGTGCTATACTTTGTGAAATATTTCTATACGTATAACATTACCTGACAATATTAAACATTCCACACGTATGCTTAAGATACGTTATCATTAACGTTCCTGGTCCTATTATTGCAATTGCTCCGATACAACTAGCGACCATCGTGTGCAACAAGATTAAATAGGCATATTTCTCTTGATTAATGAAGTAGCATGTCACAATTGGCATTGCAAAACGTGATCGAGATTCGTTCATAGGCAGAACAATATCAAGTAAAAGTGGCAATATTGGTAGCAACATAACAACACATAGACAGACTAATGTAACCACTGAGCTTAAAAAAATTAATAATTTTTATAAATAAGTGTTTCTCTATATTTACTCTTTATTTTATAAAAGTATTTTTGTTTACTTTCTTGAAAAGGTTTTTCTAGAAATGTGCACTAGTAGAATGTATTACTTAAAACAATTTTGATACAGTACGAATATGACATTTTTCTATTACAGGTTAAATAAAAAATAACCTTAAATATCCTTGATTTTAAAATACTATACATACTAATTATTGTAAAAATTTGCATGTAACAAGTACTACTTAGTGTTTACTACACTTTATAACTAACTTTGTGTTCTCTGATAAAACATGATATTTGAGCAAATCTCGAAATACACTTTTCTATTAATTGAAAGTATCATTCTAGCCACCGATTGTGAAGTATGTTTTTGTCAAGATTTCTACTAATATTGCATAGTAAATTATCATCTTACACATAATTCTAGCTGTGTACTGTGTTGCGTTATTCCCATAGTGTTTCATAATATCAATTTCATTTTTATCTCTGAGTCCGTCACAAATATACTTGAGATGTTCTAGTAAATACTTCACCTGATGTGTATAAAAAGAATATAAATATAAGAGTATAATCATACTTAAACATTCGAATATTTCATAATGTGTTTATAATAACTAGTTGTTTGAATAACTACATTATTACAGCAACTTACAGTGGAAGAGTTCACTTTAAAAGAATTGTATTTAATCACACTCACAGTACAAAATAGTGCGCAAGAAACAATTTTAATTGCACAATCAAGCGTACATTCTGGAGTCCAAAGTGCTGTAATCTGTGTGTAGGTAATAAATTTCGTGAGCATTTTAGTGTACAGAGTGCGATTTAAAAGTGTATTATATTGATATACCTGAAATACAATAAAAGCTATTAAAATGGCAAAGAACGAGGCAAACTGTATTCTTGCAAGTAATGATTGCTCGTAAGGCCACAAGCCAATTGCAAGCAACAGAATTCGATTAAGCTTAAAACGCTCGGTGTCTATAGGAATCATTTTCATTCGAATAGTACGATATGTGTTACTGTTAAAAAAGTGAAATTGCCTTTTTGTCAGTACACGTGGTTGATTATCGTAAATTATTATGTAACACTTTCTCTACACAGAGCACTTCACGGTGTAAAACATAAAGTGCCAGCGTGAGAATGCAGACACATGTTTCACAAATTGATATGTAGTCTAGATGACGGTGAACTATTAAGTGATCGATATCACACAAACGAAATACAAGAAATATTCAATTTTCGGAAAAATAGTTTGATATAATACCTTCTAAATATATTGCGCAAACGCAGTCATTGTTCTCGAGAATCTTGCAATGTCAGATGCTTTAGTCTAGTGCGCGCATTCATTGAATATACATACATACATGTGTTGTTCAGAAGTAGCACTGATCACTTGATTCGATGTGTTCGATGTCTGAATTATATTGATCTTTTTCCAGACTGGATATAAATGCGGATATATAAGAAAATATAAATAAGTACACACAGTTTTATGTTGAATTAACTTTATTTTTTATTTATCTAAGAATATCCATATTATAAGCTAAAGAATAATCTCTCACTACTAAAACATTTTCTATAATGTTGTTTAAATATTATTTATTTAAATGTTGTTTGATTATTGTTTGTGACTAACATTTCTGCACATTGTTGTTATGACGTTGATGTTAGGCATATGTGTTTCTCCTAGTGCAGTCCATATTTTCTTCTCATTCTCAGCTTCTCTCTATATATTAATCTAGTTTATTGTCACAAATAATAGACTTTCTATCATTACCGTGTAGAATAAAGAACGGTAAAATAAGATACCGATGTACTTATTAACTGTAAAAACATATATCTTTTTAGAAATTTTCTTATATAAAACACAATTGCATGAATATGAATGTTACGGATATGAATGAGTTTTATTACATGTAAGGAATGTATATGTATATTTTTTGGTTTCTTTACCGTGGCCGCACTTTCTAAAGATCCTATAAATATGTTTCCAAGATTTAAATAAAAAGGTTTCGTGCCTCTTTGCAGTAAAAATAATATTACTTTTTGTATTTCTACAGAAAAGTTATACCATCGAACATTGTACCTAGTTAAGTAAAAACCAATGTAATATAATATGTACCTAATATACACCTAGTATAACTATAAACTACGATACTATATATTAATTTATGTTGTGAACGTAATTGTATATGTACATTGGAGTGTATCATATCGTTCTGCTCTAAGGGAAGTATTTTTCGGAAATTTCTTCTCCAGCTGTCTCTACTACCGCGCGCCGTTTTTCTCCAATCTCGAGCCGCTAGCGGAAACCGAAGAGGAGTACGGCGCGCGTAGTAAGAGCAGTCAGAAAAGAAATTTCAGTAAAATATTTCTCTTGGAACGGAATGATATGGTGCATACCTTTGTACATATATGCTTTTACTGTTCATTTTATGAAAAATTATAATTAAAAATGATTTTTTAAGATTTGAAACTAAGACATCACAGATAGAATAAAATTTAAAGAAGAAACAATTTACTTTTGCAGACAATATATTCTTAGCACAATAAAAAAAAAGGTTATAATCAAGAAAAAAAATACTAATAATATTGAAAAAACTATTTGAAAAGAAAGGAGCTAAGATTGAACATGATTAAATCATAGACGAGATTCAGAAAAAAGAAAAAAAAAAGAATAGATTAGTGATGAAAGAATGAATAGAGATAAAAGAGGTAAAAAAGAAAGAAGAGTTTAAAGATTTAAAAGAACTATTGAAACCAGATGTGTGATATTTTCCGCGTTACTTTGATCATATCGCAGCACTTGATGATCTTACACAGTCTTAAACACATCATTATAATGATCCGTCACATCTTGTGCAGCATAATTTGCTAAAAACGTGTATAAAAGTAAAACAAAAACCATTGTAAGATGTAATAAAAATTCCATTGCATTATTTCCGTCTAC